CAACCATGCCACGTTCAAAGTCACTTAAATCCCCTTTCTTCCCCATTCTGATGCTCGGTTTGAACAGCAGCAGATCGTCTTGACCATGTCTACATGCCTAAATGCATCGAGTTGTTGCCATGTGATTGGCTGATTGCGCCAATGAGCAGATGGACAGGTGTACCTAACAAAGTGGCCGGTGAGTGGATATGTATGTGTGTGTGGTCAGCATGCACATTTTTTAGGACATACAACCCATTTTGAAAATGAATATTTTTATCCATTTCTCAGTGAATATGGGTCATATATTTTTATGCATTTAAACAAAACAGAATTATTAAACAGATATTTAAAGATATATTTACTAAAATAATATTTTAATCACTGATCATGTTAAGAAATAGAAAGATAATAAATTCAAGTGAATTATTGCACAAAAACTTTTCTCTCGATTTTTACTCCTTTAAAAATTTTTAATCAATATTTTTTCTATTACATATTAATTTGGGGGTGCTTATTTTTGGACCATGACCATAAGTTATTTTGATAGATTAGTTCAAGTTTTTGACTTCAGTGCTCGCTAATCTAATATATATGCTCCAATTTAGTGTTGGGAAGCATCTTATTTAAAACATTAATTCAAATTAGAGATTTGTGAGGGCTTTACTCATATATGCTGAGCGCACTGTATGTATTAAATCATGCAAATGTCCAAATTTTAGCATCTATCACATTCTGCTGTCAATTATTTGTTAATGGTAAATTAAATCAGAAATGTACAGATTTTTTATTGCTTATTTTGTTGCTAATAAAAAATTATAGCCATATAAAGAGAACAGTTCTATTGGATTATATGTGTGTAGGGGTCATAAGTCACCCTTAGTGATTCGGTCACAACATGATTGGTTATAAATAATCTTACAACAGACATTTAAACTAGGCCTCCAATATGTTTATTTTCAGTGTGATTCCATTATGATTTAATGTGACAATGAGCACAATTCATTCTCAATTTTAGCATGAACAAACAATGCAAACACACAGAATTGCACAGTGAACAGATCCCCTCTCCTGAGTGTAAAATGATGGATTACTCTTTCACTCGGCACCTCAGAGAGATTTTAATGGATCTGGAGAGCTGATCACAGCAGTTTGGAGCTCTTCGGCTTTATATGATCAAAGTGAAACCATACTCACAGCAGGAAATGCTGACTTGGGTACAAAAACAGTCATTTAATTAAGCAGCAGATCATAGCAGCAGAAGTTATGAGCTGGATTTAAACAGTGCATGCAATTTACAAATACTTTGCCTTTTGCTCAGGGTTTACTACGGAAAGACTGGGGTAATAAAGTCTTCACCTCTTCTTTTCATGGTTGACAGAGTGTTTTTATTCAGTCGGCTCTATCTAGGTCAGTCCCACAAAGGCCAGTCCTGGCACAGCTAAAATACAGTCAACCTGCTCCAAAGGTTTTTTTTCTACTTTTAAGCATGGCATTCATGCTTAAAAACATGGCGTGACATTATTTAAAGACACAAATTCAGCCGTTCATTAACAGTATAAGTGCATAAACAGATGGGCTGGTTAGTAACTAGTTAGTCTGATTACTTTGGTATGAGCATTAAAGGGATAGTTCACTCACAAATGTATTCGTCCTCTACACTGTAAAGACATTCTTGCTGCCTTTTTAGTTGAATCAAATTAACTTGTTAACTTGCATTTATCAAACTGAATAAAAATATCAGGTTAAACTTTGTAGAACTTAAAAAAGTTGAGTTGAAACCGGATTAACTTAAAGTTAAAGCAATATGAAGATATTTGTTGAGCTGACTTTTCAGCCCCTTTCACACAGTGATACCGGTTAATATCTGAAACAACTTTACCGGTAAATTCAATAAAGTGCTGTTCGCACAGACAAGGACATTTCAGATTTTTGTCCGGATAGGACCGTTCACGCATCCATTCCAATATACCACTAAATTCTGACAACATTATTCAGAAACGGTCTTTAACGGCTGCACTTGTATGTGTAAATATAATAGGGGTCGGGCTTTTGTTGATGGTTTCACTTTTCTGTACAGCTTTAGCAATCAAGCGGCTGCTTTAGTTCCTGAGACATCCAAGCTCCCACCGTAGCTAAGTGTTTACACATTTGACTACATTACTAATTCTGTGGATTGATAAGTATTATCAAGTATTACAACTTCGATGTAAACTTATGGAGGAATGCTTTCGCATGTTGAGATGTACATTTGTTTGTGTCCTCCATGTGCACGAGCGCCACACAGTTAAACGCAGAGCTGTAAGGTAAACAAACAGCGGTTTATCATAAGCATTTTATCTGTCATTTTTTACACAGCTGCCATTAAGAAGAAACCCAGAAATGTTATCTGACTAACATCTAGCAGCTAAATGTGTCTGGAAAAGCATTCAAAAGCTTTTATTTTCATAAACAGCATGGATGTGAATGCATTTTGAATGTTCTGATTGGCTAGAGTAGATGTCTGATGCTCTTTCTAGCAATTTTACTTCTGCGTTGACACAGCGAAGCATTCCGGCATATTACCGGTAATGTTACAACTTCTTTTCCCGGAAAATTGCTGCAACGAATTTATCAATATTTTCAAAAAGGGCCCGTTCACACATGATCCTTTCCAGAAAATTCTCAAATTAAGTCTGTGTGTGAAAGGGGCTTTTGTCATTACGTTTTATACAGTGTACTTGCTCTAAAACGGTTTGATTTCCACTGTGTTAATGTAAATATGAATGCCAATAACTACTACTTTTCAACATTTTCCAAGGAAAGTAAAAATAAATAAATAAATAAATAAATATGTAAAATAAATAAATATATTATATATTTATAACAATAAGCTTTGGAAACACTTGAGGGTGGGTAAATGGTGAATAAACTAATATTTGGTGAACTGTCCCTTTAAGAAGTGCATGAATAATTACAATAACTTGCGCAAAGATTTGTTAGAAACTATTAAAATGGCAAATTATAACTGTTTTTCAAGGCATATATATTGTTGCTAAACAAAGTGCATGTAATGTGTTTTTTGACTATAGAGTGCACATTACATATATATATATATATAAGGGTGTCACGATCCTCCAAATCCTCGATTCGATTACATTTTCGATTCTAAAGGCACGATTCGATTCGATTTTCGATTATGAATAATTAATTAATTAATGACCAATTAATTATTTGTAGCCTACCGTTTAAACTACCTGACCTGCATGGTCTTTGTTTTACCCATAAACAAATCATACAGTAAATAAATAAAGGCAAGATACACACATAATTACCACCTGTCAATCACTTTTTCTGCGGGACTCGTGAATAGGCAGTGATCTGTGTCGTTATAATGGCGTCGGTAAAAAAAGACGCACAACCAACAGGAACCAGCCAACAGTATCTGAGGTGTTCGCTAAAATGACTAAGTACAAGTGAGTAAAAGATTGAAGCAGTCCTCTGACTGTCTGGACCTGCTGTCTCGAGCGCATGGCTGTATGTGCGTCTGTGTCTGTGTGGTCACGTGATGTGCATTTTCAGAGGCAGAGAGGAAGGAGGGCTGCTCAGAAATGCCACACGCCACTGTGGATGTCAAATCGTTGTCGTTCTAAAATGCCATTTAAAAACAAAGACAGTGTAAACAGGGCCTGAGTGTGTACTTTTCGCGAGCGGTTTTGCAACGGTGGCGGGCGGAGGATCGCGATGCCGGTGTTGTCTATCGGACGAACCGTATGTAATACGTACATAGCAGAGCTTGCAAAACTGTGGGGTTTTTTTTGTCGACAACACGAACGTTGTCAACATAACTCACTGGAAATCCAAAATGCACACCGGCGACTTCATTGAAAGAGGAGAGGGTTTAAGTTCTGTCGACGGGTCTCCTGCTTCTGCAGTTTAACAAGCCTGTTTTATGAGGGCGTGGCAGCATAGACGATTCTATTTTTTGATTCAATAATCGAAATTGAGCATAAATTTCGATCGATTTCGATTAAAAATCAAAATCGTGACACCCCTAATATATATATATATATATATATATATATATAGAGAGAGAGAGAGAGAGAGAGAGAGAGAGAGAGAGAGAGAGCATTGCTATCTCAGTGCTCAAAACAAAGTTATCTCAGGACAATTCGTAACTTTTTGATTTAGTGGCTAATTTGTATGGATTTAGAGTTGTGGTTTAGTGCCACGCCTCCTTTAAAAAGTCGTACATTTTCATATGACTAAACTCATGCAATTCATATGAATTAGGGATGCAGGGATTAACCGTGATTTAATTTAGTTAATTAATGGTTAATTCATCAAAAAGGCTTGTCGACACTGCGTTTCTGCAAAACTGTTGCAATTGAACATGTTATGCCAACTGTGCGCTAGTTTAAAGTTCCAAGCTTGTACACAGAGACTAATACGCACACACACAGAATAAACAGTGGTTAAGGCTATTAACTAAGGGGCGTTCATACAGTATATCACGCCTTTTTCGTGCACAAGTACCTTATATCCAATGGAGTACATTTCACTACATTTGTACTCTTTAAAAGGGAAATGCTTTGCTACTGTAATATGTAGCTTAGATTGACATTAGACAAATACTGTTTTTTATTTGTTCTTTTTTTATTTATTGATTGCTCTGTCATTTATTTTCAGTGTAAAATAATTACTAATGTTTTAATGTCAAAAACTGTTTTACTTAAATTTAAATGGACTAGTGTTTGTTTTTATTTATTCTTTTCTGCTGTATTATTTGGTTACTGAGCAGCAATAAATAACACTTTAAACATATAAGAAGTTTTCATGTGATTTTCTAAACTAGTAGTGTTTTGAAATGAATGAACGCATAATAATCGTGATTAATGTAAAACCGTGATAATTCCTCAGATTATGATCGTACAACCAAAGTCTAAAATCGAACACGAATTAAGCACTAAACTGACAAAATGTAAAATAGTTACGTTTCCTCATGAGATCAAATGCAATGCATATCAGTGATCTTTCGTAATCTACTCTGAATGCACGCACACATTGACGTTCTTATGTTTCTCCCAGTAGTGACATTGTTCTGGAAAGCTGGACAGAGTGAAGCTCTCCTTGTGTCGACTGACGGCATGAATCAGAAACCCTGCTAACTGCTTCTCCAGCATCTCCACCACAGCTTTAGCGTCTCCTTTTCTGGCAGGACCCTCCATCATCTGTTTGATGCTCTCATTGGGCACCGGCTGAGGGTCACTGCAGTACGAGACCACCAGGTGTGTTTCGTTTCCTTGAGAAACTTCCAAATATTTCTGTCCGGACACGCACTGAAAGTTTTGTCCGGCTCTCAAGTTGCTAATTTTGCCCATGTTGCTGATGACTCTGATGGACCAGCAAACCCAGTCGAACTTCTTCGTCAGGAAGTCCAGCAGTTCTCTGGCTGTTTCCTGAAGGTTTGCTTCCTCCTTTTCCTTCAGGAGCCTCTTGATGTCTAGTTCAGCTTGCTCCGGGAATGATTGCACACATTTCTCAATGGTTTCCTTCATTTTGGTCTCGATCTCCTCGATTTTGGTGCTCCACTCTTGGATCTTCTCCTGCTCCGCTTCTTCTCCCTGAGTGAGGAAACAATATCCCAGCAGAGCGATTATTCCCAGACAGAGCAGCTCCTTCAGCCGCACACAAAAATCTTCCAGAACTCTTCTGTTTCTGGCCTCGTATTGCTCCACAACCTCCAGGATTGGCTCCCCGAATGTGCTGTTCCCCATCACAGCATCATAAAGCATGTAAAGATTCTTCTCTCCACCTGTTTTGGGGAAGTGCTGTAAGAACAAGCGTTTTCTGACCTCCTTATACTCCGGTTTGGCCTCCAGAATGTCAATGTATTTTCTAAACTGGTTGCATATGTTTTCCTCCACAGTGAAGAACTGGGAATCCAGGCGTCCCTTTTTGATTTCGCAGTTGATGTCCTCTATTTGAGATGAGAGGACGTCTAGTTTGCTTCTCACGACTAGAAACTGATCTTTGACATATGTGACCTCCTTGCTTTCTACGTTGTCCAAGAACAGCCTCAAAACTGGTGCGGAGGCTTCAAAAAGTGGACTCAGTCCTCCAACAGCGCTGGCCAACACCTCGGCTCCTCTCTCAAACATCTCCATTACTTCTTCAATCGCCTCCTTCTTCTGCGCAACAACCCGCTCTAGTGGACTGGACATTTCTGAAAACAAACAACATCGATTATGAAAGTAAACACATTTTTTTTGTATATGTAGTTTAAATGTAACATAAAATAGTTGTGAAAGCAATAACAGGAGTTTGAATTGTTTAGAGATTGTTGTTTAATAGTTTGGGACACTTTCTGCTAACACTTTATTTTAAGGTTTCCATGTTACTATGAAACTGTATGCTTACTAAATAATAATTAATGTACTTTCTGTATATGGAAGTTTTAGGGTTTGGGTTTGATGATTTGTTGCATGCAAGTATGAGCTACTTTTGTTATGTACATGTAATCAGGGTGCAATATATACATTGTACACAACTTTTTTGCTAGTAGTTTGGTAATGCATGCTTCAATGAATCAAATTTATGAATGTATTTAAATTAAATCCCATTTGTTAATAGAAATGTATACGTTTTTTGGGTTTTGAGGGATATTTAGTGACCATTTTATTTTAGTCTTTCAAACTATACAAATTATGTCTCATTTTTTTTTTTTTAGGTTACATGCATATATAAAACAGAAATGTGCGCACATCTAGAAAAATCTTGAAGGCAGGTGCACGATCAAAAAACAAACATAAGTAGCAAAAGATTCAAAGTAAATCGGCATACTGCATAATGTCGGTCGAAACGTAGTGATTTTGTAATTTTGACAAATAAAATTTTTTTAAAAGCTAAAGTAGCAGTATGCCGATTTACTTTGAATCTTTTACATGCATATATAAACCGATAAACACTTATTTTACAAGAAACATGTTTAGTGTATGATTAAGATGTGCTTCAGTGCTCTAGAACTGCCAGTTTCCGACTTTTGAATCATATTTTTCCTAGCATTGATTGGCACAGTTATGCATTACCAATGGTATGAACCGTTATGGGGGATCAAATGACTATTTATATTATACATTTTTAATTATTAATATTTAGATATAAATCAGAGATTAGAGAAAGCTATGAGAAAGCTATTTTTTTAACTATTAAAGGGCTGACCCATACATCTTGTTTTGATTTTCTTCAGAGGGGATCGAGCCTTAATTAGGGGGGCAATCCCCCCCAAATCTCCCTGTAATTTGCACCCTGCATGTAATGCCAAAATGACTAAAGTGTTTGTTATTACTTAAGAGAAATTAAAATAAGCTTAAGCAAACACTTACTGTATGAAAATTGACCATGAATTTGTTAGTGTAAAAGTAGTAACAAGTCATTTTTGTTTATTGATTATACTTTTGTTTATTGATTATACAAATGCCATGGTTAAATTATGGTTAGTTCAGCAAAACCATAATTAATATGAGTTACCATGACTTAACCACAATAGTCTTGTTTATTTGGGTAGACGTGTAATAAAAACAGTGGTTAATTTAGTTCTATCTCATAGAGAAGACACTAATGTAGTTCATAAATCAGAGATGCCCAAACTAGGGTGCGCGGGACAAAATTGCCCATTGTAATCTTTGATTTGGTCCACTATCCCATCTGAGAAGAGAGGGAGAATAATGGAGAGGGTTGGGGCGAATGCATTTAAAAGAGATGGTCATTTATAATTCGACATAACCTTTTTTTGGTTTGTTTGTTTTATTGCTACAAAAATAAATAAATAAATAAAACTGAAATGAAATGTTTCAATTAAACGTTGATAGAGGACTATGCAGAAGACATTGGTGAGCAAATTAAGGCAAAAACTAGAGTAACTCCATTCTGGGTTAAATGAGATTTTTTTTGCTGCAATAAATTAATTAAAAAGTGTAACAATCATGCTGTATTATTTAATATAAATTAATGTTTTCTAGTTATTTTTAAATATTATGAAATAAATTAGGAAATTATCCATGGCAACTATATTTACCTTCGGCCCACAAGCCTCAATCAAGTTTGGTTTTGGCCCTTCGTAAGAAAAAGTTTGGGCACCCCTGCTATAAGTGAAGTTTATTTATAAACTAATTTCGAGAGGATCACATGCTTATGATCGCTTGCGGCTGGTCCCGCATTATCCAATTTATGATTCACCAATCAGACGATTCCTAAGCCAAAATAAATACCCTAAGTTTCATATAACAGCCATCTTCATTTTGAAGAATCCCCTCTTCCTCCCCTACTTCTCCTCCTTTCCTAGATGGGTGGCACGGTCGCCCAGTGGTTAGCACTGTTGCCTTACAGCAAGAATGTCATTGGTTCTAGTCCTTACCAAGCTAGCTGACATTTCTGTGTGGAGTTTGTTCTCCCTGTGCTCACATAGATTACCCCCGGGTTTTCCGGTTTCCTCCCAGCAAAAACATGCAACTTATAGGTTAATTTACTAATCCAATTCGGCGCCATAGACATGCTATTAGTAAGTAGTTATCTCTTAAGAGCAATCCCTATCGGTTCATTAGCTACTACAGCAGGGGAGATCTTGAGATCTACCTGAGCTCAAACTCCCCTCTTGCCTTGCAAACGGGAGGGAGCCCCGGGCTCGAGGATCTAATGAGCTCAGGGCTCTCTCTCGGGACAGCATGCCGAACAAGCTTTTACAATCAATCATCAGCTAAGTGTAAACTCTTGAAATTTATATTAGGGTTATAGTTTCCTCAGACAACACCCAAATATATATATATATATATATATATATATATATATATATATATATATATATATATATATATATATATATATATATATATATATATGTATATATACAGCAACAACAGCAAAAATGCATAGCCATATCATATTCATAATGATGTTTCAATAAAATTATTTAACACTTCTTTTTCTCATATATTGCTCATATATAGTGTTGTCCATGATAGTAAAACATCAAGCATAGCCTTCATGAAACTGTCATCACGTTGCTAAATTTAGAGGTCTGCCATCAGCATATTTTCTGTCTTAAATCTCCTTGCATGTTATTAAGCAAACCACGACAAAGCGCATGCATGTTTTACAGCATTTAAACAATCACATTCCGTTCAAAATAGCAAACGCTGAGAATCATGTTGGATGTGGCACCAATAATGTGCCATCATCATCTGTTCGGTAAAGGACACACCTCGAAAAGCGTTTTAAAGCTCAGTCTGCCTCATGAGTGTCCTACATGCGCACCACAGCTTTTTAAATATTTCAAACAGGTTTCTCACGTCTGGCTGGTTAAAGAAATGTCTCATTTACCTGTCCGAAATGTAGTTTTCCCTCAGGTATTGGCTCGAGGTGGATATTTGTGCTGATTTGAGAGTGTGTCTGGAGTGAACAGACTGGAGCGCGCGCGCGCGGGAAAGAGGGAGTTGCGCGCGCTGAGGATGCTTCAGGATGAATTTTGGTTTGGAAAGCCTTTGGCAACCGTCGGATAAATGTTTAGCTATTGACAGTTTGGCTTTATCTTACGTTATGATGATAATTTGACGGCAGATAAAAATGTTCTGTATTGTTTCTGAAGGGAACCAGCGTGTAATAGGTGCTCATTAGGAGGAATATTGCGCGCAATGCGCAACACGAAGCAGCGTCGGTGGATCAGAAGAAACGCGCAGATATTTTCCACACAGCAGTAGCAGGTATTTTATGCTCATGTATGTACGTGGATATCAATCTTTATGTACAATGTTACAATATGCATCCAGTGTTATGCATCCAATATTAGCTACTCGGTGTTTAAACGTTATTTTATTTGTGCGTGTAGTTTTGGAGGACAATATGTACTTATTATGGAATTAGAGACATAAGAATATAAGAAGAAGCGAGTAAATGTATATACATTTATTTATGGGTAAATATAGGCCTATTTGTTTTCTAACGATCTACAAAAAAGCGTTTGGAAAAGCGAGGTGTGACACTGATGCATGCGTCATGGATGGCTGACGCTGCTGAACATGATGACTGATTCCCATGAGGCTTAGCGGAAAACAGAGAAGGTGTTTAAAATTGAATGATTTTCGACCTCATTGTGTTCTAGATCATAAGTAACCAGTGAAAAATGTTATTGGTTCACTGTTTTAGATTTTATTTTGATTCATATTCAGTATTTTTGTTAAGACCATGTGTCACAAGGGGGTTGTTCGGGGTGCATTATGTTACGAGTTTCACAGAACTAGTTTTTTTCTTCAGGGTTTCAATCTCAGTACATAAATGACAATATATATATATATATATATATATATATATATATATATATATATATATATATATATATATATATATATATATTGTAACACGTTTATTATTAAGGTTATCAAAATGATTGTACAATGTGCTTTTACAGACATAGTCAAAGGCAAGTTTTACAAAAATGTGCAATGAGTTGTAGAAATTATAGTAATCCTTAAAAATAAGCCAGCAGATAGATGGAGGTAAGGGGAAACAGGGGAAACATCATATCATCTATAAGTACTAATATTGGCAACTAATTAGTCATATAGTCTCTGAAAAGGCACATAAAACTAAATATATATTTTCTTCATCATAGCATATTCCTATAACATTGACATGTCATTTGAAAAAAGAACATTAAAACAAAACAAAAGAAAATAAAAAAACAACCCTCTACAAAAAAAAAAAAAATTTAATTAACACACAAAACCATTTCTCTCACATGAGGGCAAGTGATCTATAAAAGGAGGCCATATATTTTTATAAACTCTGTATGTTGTCAATTAGCACAGCGACATTATTTTTTTAAGACCTGAGTGTTTTTTATTTCTCTGCTTTGAACATAATTTAAAGTAGTTAAGTAAACAATAAATCCAAACTAAAATATGTTTATCTATTTGTCTGTCTGTCTCTGTCTGTATGTCTGTCTGTCTACCTACTTATGACTAATAGCACTATCACCAAAACATAACTTAAACCTTCTTATATGCTCGCAACTTGTTAAATGTTTACAGTCTCTAATTGTAATTGTAATTGTAATAAATTAGTTTATTGTTACTGGTATTTAAAAGTAATCTCATACCTTACAATATTACAGTCTCAGAATCGTAGTGCGTTACATTACTCCTGTATGACTTTTGAGTTACTTTCACTAAAATAACTATACTGAAGTAGAACTTAAAAGCAAAATATGCCCAATTTTTTACATCCACAAAAACTCTCTTAAACATTGTTATATTTTTGCTGCCTTGTGTATTTACATTATTTCACATTATCGGGTATACTTCCCATTCTTTTCCCCTTTTTCACATTTATGAAAAAAGAGGAAAATGCTTTATTTTTCTTTAAATGTCAGGATTAAATTGTGCTGTCTGCTTATTCATTTTACCAGTTTATCAATGGAAATTACAGTTGATTTCTTTTCACCCCACATTTTGTTCCACATCCTGACATTGTAACTTCTAAGTTTTCCTAAAAGCCACAGCACTAACATGATTACTAACTAATTATCTTCCAATGTTTTCTTCTACTTATTTCAGAATCATATGTCCATGATTGCCTCTTCAACTTGCTGCAAGAGTCTTTTGCAAACGTTTCCTTCTGAAGCTGACGCAGACCAAGATCCTTCTGGGATGTCACACGGGGTAAAGTAAATCTTATTAATGTTTATGTATTCCTGAATGAACATATAAAACAAGAAAATAAGGAGAAAATACAAAATTCCTTCTAAGTGCATTTTTGGGGGTGCAGGGAGATTTGTGTGAATAAATCAATCATTTATAAAGAGAACTTATGTCCATAACTGTTTTTGCCTGTCGCTATTGGATTAACAAGTGATTTTACAATTCCATTATTCCTGTAAATTGAACAAGGCACTACATGAAGAGTTTGCTAGTAAGCATGGTCCAGCTACCCCTGCTGGTAGATTCTATTGCTACATTGTGTGTCAAAACAACATACACAGAATTGATGCAATGCATTTTAAAATGCAAACTAGCCAGATTGAGGGTGGCACGGTGGCTCCGACCAATCAAATCAAATCAAATTAAATCACTTTTATTGTCACATCATCAGCAGCACGTGTGCTATGATGAGTGAAAAGCTTAGGTGCTGGCTCCAGACAGTACAAAATACAGACAGTGCAAAATACAGATAATGCAAATACAACGATAATGTAAAATTGACAGCGATATGTGCAATGAATAGGTGTCCACATAGTTGTTGGCAGTATTGTTTCAAGTATCGAATCCCAACTGTCGCCTCACAGAAAGAAGGTCTCGGCTGGGTCAGTTGGTGTTTCTGTGCGGAGTTTGCATGTTCTAACCGTGTTTGCATGGGTTTCCTCCGGGTGCTCCGGTTTCCCCCACTGTCCAAAGACATGCGCCATAGGTGAATTGAATAGGCTGTAGTGTATGAGTGAGTGTATGAATGTGAGAGTGTATGGGTGTTTCTCAGTACTGGGTTGCGGCTGGAAGGGCATCCGCTGCAATAAACATATGCTGGATAAGTTGGCGGTTCATACTGCTGTGGTGACCCCTAAAATTTAAGCCAAAGGAAAATTTCTGAATGAAAAAAACAAATTGAGAGAATTGTACCAAAATAATATTGTATATTAAATATGCTACATTTTGCCATTTTGCAGTGCTTATAGTTTCATATTACATGCTTTTTTAAAATACATTTAACACAAATAGGTGTGGCTTAAAAATAAGTGTGGCTTAAAGCTCCTCAGTTGTATTATATATATATATATATATATATATATATATACATATATACATATATACATAATTTTCATTGCCCATCTTGAGCCAATTGTTAAGAGTTGTTTTGGTTCAATTTTCAGCTTGACCTCCACTGCTCCTGTAGTATTATGTAATATATTTAGGTCTAAATGCAGAGCTCATGCAGTGGACTTTTACTTCCATCTAGTGGCAAAAAAATTATAACAAGCAATAGTAGTGTCAGACAGCTGCTAGAGTAAAAGATAGTAAAATACTATTCATGAAAACCATCAAACAAGAGAAAAAAACAACCATGTGATATGTTAAGCTTCTATTTATATACTATTATTTTTCAATATTTAATAAGGACATTAATAGTTTTGAATATGATGTATTATCCTGGCGGCACGGTGGCTCAATGGTTAGCACTGTCGCCTCACATCAAGAAGGTTCCAGGCTTGAATCCCAGCTGGGTCAGTTGGCATTTCTGTGTGGAGTTTGCATGCTCTCCCCATGTTGGCGTGGGTTTCCTCCGGTTTCTCCGGATTCCCCCACAGTCCAAAGACATGCGCTATAGGTCAATTGAAAAAACTAAATTTGCCGTAGTGGATGAGTGTGTGTGAATGAGTTTGTATAGGGGTTTCCCATTGCTGGGTTGTGACTGGAAGGGCATCTGCTGCGTAAAACTTATTCTGGATAAGTTGGCGGTTCATTCTGCTGTGGCAACCCCTGATGAATAAAGGAACTAAGCCGAAGGAAAATGAATGAATATATAATCCTTAATAAATTATTATTATTATTATTATTATTATATTAGGGACAGCATGGTGGCTCAGTGATTAGCACTGTCACCTCACATCAAGAAGGTTGCTGGTTTAAATCCCGGCTGGGTCAGTTGGCATTTCTGTGTGGAGTTTGCATACTGCGGTTTTCCCCACAGTCCAAAGACATGCGCTACAGGTGAATTGGATTAACTAAATTGGCCATAGTGTATGAGTGTGTGTGTTAATGTGAGAGTGTATGGATGTTTCCCAGTACTGGCTTGCAGCTGGGAGGGCATCCGCTGTGTAAAACATATGCTGGATAAGTTGGTGGTTCATTCTGCTGTGGCGACCCCTGATATATAAAGGGTCTAAGCTGAAGGAAAATTAGATGGCTTATTCTATTATTTTTTGCAGATAAATTTTTAAATAATAATATTTTTATTTGAATGTCAGAAGACTCATTATCAGTAGTTTATACAATAAAACCCCTTTTACTCTTAACACCTGCTAATGGCAAATAATAGATAATACCTATAATAAGAGATAACTGCATTCTCTTAATGAAAACAACATGGCATAGCTATTTTAATTCCTCATTTATTTATTGAAAAATGTAGCAATATTGTACAGAGTTATAAGTGCAACATCATTCCATAGACTGAATTACAGGAAAAGGTATTTTAATGGTATTCAGGAAGGTAACATGTTCCAATCTTTGAGACATTCGAAAAGTACACAGATCTCTTTATAATCCAGCGATGTATGGATAAATAAATGCGACACACACATGATTATCGAAGGTGTCAGACTAAACATGCAGCACTGTACATCGCACTGCTATATAGCAAGCACATCAAGTGTAATATTCTAATTTATCCAAAATTAAAAGAATGCAAAAATAAAAACCCTTCAGTTTCTGTCACTTCTCTCGTAATAAAATATTTGCTTTGATGATGTGTTCTTATGGCACAAAAATAATAATAATTAAGACACCGGATGCAATTAAATGCATAATTAAATCTATTACCAACATGACACCCCCACCCCCCAAAAAATAAAAAAATATCATTTTTCATTATTCATTCTTTAATTTAATTTTCAACTTAGTATGCAAAAGTGTATGCTCTTTATTTTGCGATAGATAGATAGATAGATAGATAGATAGATAGATAGATAGATAGATAGATAGATAGATAGATAGATAGATAGATAGATAGATAGATAGATAGATAGATAGATAGATAGATAGATAGATAGATAGATAGATAGATAGATAGATAGATAGATAGATTCTTGAGGGTTTTGTGGCCAACTTAATTGTGTTTTGTTCAATCCACTTATATTTTTCTAAAAACTAACAAGTTAACTTAATTAACCCTTTATGTTGTCTCAACACAAATTTATTGTGTGGAACACAGCAGTTTTTTTTATGGTGTATACGGTAAAAGAGTGATTAGTTACTAAAATGGCAAGTAAACCAATTACCTTAAAAGCAACAAGTTGACTTTACTTAAAAACAGTGTGTCAACCAATTGTAACTTGGAACTTTTAAGTCAACTCAATTTATATAAGAAATGCCAATTTTATCACTTTTTTTTTTTAAAATAAAGTCAACTAATCGCTTCAACATTGGCTCATTCTGAAAACGTAGCCCTGTATACATTTATGTGGATCGCGAATTTTGTAGCCAGAGCAACGTATGACTGCATTTTGTCTTAAAGCGAACGCTACAGGACGGATGATGCCATTGCTTTTCATGCTAACCTCTGTGTGAACGGCTGTTACCAGTTTGTCCAGTTAGCTCGCTATGGACGTCGGCGGACTTGAGACGCAGAGAGGAATTGACCACAACGATGAAGTTCAAATCTGGCGAAAGACGGTTTCAGAAATCGGGTGAGACAAAAACACAAGCTAAAAAATATAATCAAGTAAATAACAGTGAGAATGTGATAAAATCTCAAAACTTGATAAAAGTCAGGAAAGGCTTTTTCTTTTTCTAAATTACTTTTTAAAACTGTTGGTTGGATTTAGGGAAATGGGTGGGCGGGTCAATCGGTGCTTTTAAAAACACTATTGGTTGGGTTTAGGGAAGGAGGAGGCTGGGTCAGTCGAACAATTAGTCAGTCGACAGCAGCCTCTGGTGGATTTATGCGAGAACAGCAGGTGCGAATGGCATTTGTGATAGAAATCTGAGATCTGAAAAGGCATACACAGCGGCCTCTGGTGGATTCGCGAAAACAAATTAGCTCCTGGGAAGCATTTGGTGCTCTCCAGAAATGTATGCAGGGCTACGTTTTCAGAATGAGCATGGGTTGAATCGCTTTCTACAGTGTATTATTGGTCTTCATACAAAGAAAGTCAGCGTTCACCAGATTCTAACATTCTTTAAAATATCTTCTTTAAAATCTCATAATGGGTGAGTAAATGAGGACATTTTCATTTTCGGTTAAACTCTCCGCTTATAAAAAATATTTAATATACTTTATTCAGGATTCGAGTTGCTCATCATGCAGTGAAGCTTAAAAAAATGATGTGCCTCATCTTATGAATTTATGTTTATATAACACGATCAGCAGGTTAGTCTAAAATATGTGTGTAATGTACTGTTAAAAAGGCGTAAAGAAATGTGATTGTGTGATTCGACAAAACAAACCCATGTTTACAAGGAAAAAGATGGCATCACAGTGTGTGAGAGAGAAAGCGTCAGCATGATCTGCAGTCATCGGGAGGATAATGCTGCATTAGACACTGCAGATCAATGAAGTCTATTAGAGGAAAAAGGCAATAAAGAGCGTCGTTTGTGCATCACTTGCAACTCCTGAGCACCTCCTGCATTTTCTCCTGCACATTCCTCATGTTTTCCTCCCACTCCTCATTTCGAGACTCCAGATCATCTCCCAGGATGCCGTAGTAGCCCATGAGAGCGATGAAACCGATGCAGAAGAGGTACGCCAGTCGAGTGCAGAGGTTTTCCATGACACGGTGATCTCCTTGTGAGTGCTTCATGTACACATCTAATATTGGCTGACTGAAGAGCTTGCGCTTCCCCATCACACCGTCGTAAAGCGTGTACATGTTCTGGTCGTCTTTATCATTGATGAAGCTCTCCACGAAATCCTCCTTCTTGCGTTGGAGATGCTCCGGCTTTGCCTCCATGATCTCCATGAACTTGCGGAACTGATGGCGGATGTTTTCCTCCACTTCGTGGTACTGTCTGTCCACAGTTTCCTTCCGTATTTGAAGCAGGGCTTGGCGGTTTTGCTGTGAAATTTCATCCAGAGCTCGATTGACGCTGCCGAACTCTCGCTTGAGTTTCTGGAGGTCTTCATCGTCCACGTGGTGTAGAACCACACGGATGAGAGATCCAGCCACACCGAAGATGGGATTGACCACCGCTGCTGCTGAGGAGATGGTGGCCACACATTCTAGCACCTTCACCAGACCCCGCTTCAGCTTCTCGGGGTCATCGAATAATTCATTGTCGGCCATTGTGTCCGGTGGAAGATCTGATGGTTCACCTGAAGAGGGAAACAGACCACAATCTTAAACAGAATTTCTGTTGAAAATATAAAGTATCAGTGCTACTGAATCATTTAGGGTTCAGTACAAGTTAAGCTTTTAATCAGCATTTCTCATCTCATTTTCTTTCCGAAAAAATTTTTTGTTTTAAATAATGTGTCAAAGCAAGCAAATTCCTCAAAAAAAAAAAAAAAAACTGTCCAGGGGTGCGTTTCCCAGACAACGACATAACTCACAGCTGAATTATCATAGTACGATAGTGACGAGTGTTTCCCAAATCCATCGTATCTCTGTCGCAGATCCATCGTTTGAACCACGTTAGTTATAACAAAAAACATCCATAATGATGCTCTAAATGGGGTGGAGTAACTACTACTTTAGAGAAGAACCCCATAATATCTTTGTGCAAATTATATTGTTTTACACGCACACGCCTTTAAAATAATATCCAATATTAGTTTAGCTAAAAACATGCACTCACTTTCCATATTAATTGAAATATATGTAAACGGCACATACAGGGCCTGTGTTTCCTTTACTAATATTATTGAGAATATTCCATAGTCTATTCTAAAACATAAATAACCACTCAGCTAACATGTATTAAAATCTCATATATAAATCATGTAAATCGTTAGGCTAACGGTTGTAAATTACAATAGGCTATATATTAAGAAAATAAAAAATGTCTAATGTGAAACATTGCGATGGACGATGCCACAGCTGGTGGAGGAGACGAGCGTTCGGTTGGAGTTCACTGTAGTGCATACATTTTCATTGTTTTCACTGCAAAATCCTCACTGCCTGCACGGATTTAGGAGACATTTATGCAGAACGCATCTTTGCACCTAAAAATGCCAAACGCAGCACTGAGGAACAGATCAACAGTTGTTATGTGACCTTGCTGAAGTAAAAAAACCCTGCAATGCTTGCCCCGCCTTTGTGCTCTTCTTATTGGCTCACTGTTCTTGAACTGAACGCGAATGATTAGTTAATATCAGCTGCAATCACTCAGTCAATACCTTCTGCCATCAGATGACTGGAGCTACAACCATGAAAATGTAAAGCGCTGAAAATGAGTGAATGAAAATAACACTGACAGATTTACCTACAGTTACTAATATTGGCACATCTTATTAGTGATCATGTGCTAAATGTTAATCCACCATTTACACTTTTTCCAAAAGTGGATAAAAGACTTCCAGTGTTTCAAGTCCACTATGACAATGACTAAAGATTGACCACATTTCTAGAACTGCTCGATCGTGCAGATTTGCACTCTATGACATCAGAAAGATCCGACCCTTCTTATCTGAACATGCAGCTCAACTCCTTGTTCAAGCTCTTGTTCTCTCCAAAAAGGATTACTGCAACTCTCTACTAGCTGGGCTTCCAGCTAACTCTATCAAGCCTCTTCAACTGCTCCAGAACGCAGCAGCACGAGTGGTCTTCAATGAACCTAAACGAGCACATGTCACTCCGCTGCTAGTCCGTTTGCACTGGCTGCCAGTTGCTGCTCGCATCAAATTCAAAGCTCTAATATTTGCCTACAAAGTGACTTCTCCTTGCTCCTTCTTATCTGCTCTCACTTCTGCAGATCTATGTGCCCTCCAGAAACTTGCGTTCTGTGAATGAACGTCGCCTCGTGGTTCCATCCCAAAGAGGGAAGAAATCACTTTCGCGAACGCTCACGCTCAATCTGCCCAGTTGGTGGAATGAACTCCCTAACTGCATCAGAACAGCAGAGTCACTCGCTACTTTCAAGAAACGACTAAAAACTCAACTATTTAGTCTCCACTTCCCTTCCTAATCGCCTCTCTGGATATCACACTAACTGTACCCAAAAAAAAAAAAAGTACTAATACTTTTCTTCTTAGACTTTACAGACCTGAAACTTGCCTATAGCACTTATTCATTGTTGCTCTTATAGTTGTGTAAATTGCTTCCTTGTCCTCATTTGTAAGTCGCTTTGGATAAAAGCGTCTGCTAAATGACTAAATGTAAATGACTAAATGTAAAGCTATTCACTGTAAAGTCTGTGGGACAGGGTTTGCAGGTAACAGATTTTGCCACTGAATCTACACATTTTAAGCGTGAGAGGTGCTGTGTAATCCTTTATTTAATCCTCCCGAAGCTGTCAGCCGTGCAAGCGGCAGCGATATGTAATATTTCACACAGCTCATGAAAAGACCATTATTGCTATTAAGATGACATGCAAATAATCAGTTATATTTCAATATAAATATGGGGCGGGGCAATGGATCGCAATGCTGGCTCAGTATTGTATACCTGTCAACCCTCCCGTTTTTCCAGGGATTCTCCCGTATTTTACAGTTCTATCCCGCTATCATCCCGTAAAGGTATTTTCCCATATTTCTCCCGTATTTTCAGTCTTTCTCTAAACAGCCGAGCCTCCCTATACGCAACCCATACCGCCGAACCACCAGGGGTCGCCCCATGCTCTAAAACGTGAGTCTTTTGTGCTTTCGCTTTGTTTAGGAATGAAAACACTTATAAATAAATATTAAAAATGGTGCGATTCCATTTCCTATTGATTACAGGTGCCGTTGCCCATCCTATACAATCCTCAAAACAGTCATAAAATGGTGCATGACTGTCAGCTGACGCGCTCCATAGTGATAAACAGATGCTGTTTCCCGAACGGATTCTGTACACGAGATTTGAAGCGGAGAGAAAGTCTGGCTTTTGGGTGCGTGTTTAAACAGACATACACACATAATTAATAGTAATAATAACATATAAGGATGTCGATCTTGGTGGTTTATTTTCCAAACACAGCTAATTTCGTCTTAAATGAGCATAAAATGTAAGGAAAGCAGTCGAATGCTTTCATTATAACGTTAGATGTGTGCATTTTTAAAGTGACACCTCTTATTTAATGTAATTTAAAAAAATCTTAATAAATGAGAGATTCATTCGTTGCTCTTCAATCAGAATGTATAAGTTATACAGTGTAGAAAACGGCTAATGAGATTTGATAGCTTGATTCTTTGTCATTATAATAACTATTAATTTTAATAAGCTGAACTGTTTGCTAATGTATTTGCTGCTATATATTTATTTTTCTTTTGGTAATAATAATTTAAAAACATATTACTGACTATTTAATTGTTTATTTACAATGAAACAGCTCCAAATGAACATATTTAGTAATTTGGGGATTTTTTTTAGGGGGGGTGGGGGGATCCCTTAATATGGTGGGCATATCCCTTATTTTCACATCCCAATGTTGACAGGTATGGTATTGTGAAGTTTGTCGGCCATCGGCGATGGACGATAGCATTGTCTATCCGTACAACCCTAATGATCGATCAAATTTTCCCAGGTCAAGGTTTTCAATTATTTTCCCAGTCATGTGACTTCGCTCTGTTAAGGCTGATTTATACTTCAGAGTTGAACACACGGGTGGTCGCATACTCACAAACCTCTCGAAAAATGTAACTACACGTCACATGTTTGCACTACATTGACGATATTTGGAAGCTGCGCCAGAGATGCCTTGAGACGGCATATTTTCTATATAAAACAATAAAATTATAATTTACATTAAAATATTTGTTTACAGAAGATGCAAGAAACACACTGTTTAAATTATTATTTACAGCATATGCAAGAGTTATTTTATTTAGAAGAGATGCTGCTTTTTTTCAACTTTTGAAAACATTAAAAAGTAAATAATTTTGTTACCAATTTAAGTTATTTATGTCACTTTTTTATATAAAAAATTGGCTGTTGGTTTTAGGCAACGTGTGTTTTAATATTAGCTGTTCAGCGTTGATAATAATAAATATTCATAGATAGTTGACATTGTGTGTTTCCTTCAATTATTTTAAAATCAAGTAATGCGCCTTTCATTTAAATCTATCGCTTGTAATATTTGAGTATATTTACTGTACAAACCTGTCCGTGAACTGTGAAGACAAAAAAATGTAAATAAAATAATCGTTCATTAATCGTAAATGAGTTAAAATGTTCATTTAATTGAGATTTAGATTTTAGGCCAAATTCCCCAGCCCTACATTAACATATGCTATATATTTTTGTTTTTACAAGCTTTTGAGACGTAACGTAAATTCCGTTTTTTTTTTTTTTATTTTTATAATAGGTCACCTATAGCTTTCATCATGAGCCACGGCTGCATTTAAAATGGCATAAATGTTTTCAAGGTGCACTGCAAAGGGAACGCAATTGTCAATTTGAAGATCGCAAAACCTGAAGTGTAAAAAATACTTTTAAAGCAAATTACAGCTCAGAGAGATGACTTTATTGCTTTTTTAATCATTACAAGTTGTGGCACAGTGGGTAGCTTGATTGCCTCACAGCAAGAAGGTCACTAGTTCGAGCCTCTGCTGGGTCTGTTGGCATTTCTGTGTGGAGTTTGCATGTTTTTCCCCCAGGTGCTCCGGTTTCCCCCACAAGTCTAAAGACAGCGCTACAGGTGAATTGAATGAAATAAATTGGCCGTAGTGTATGTGAGTGAACGGGAGTGTATGGGTGTTTCCCAGTGATGGGTTGCAGCTGGAAAGGCATCTGCTGCATAAAACATATGCTGGATAAGTTGGTGGTTCATTCCACTGTGGCAACCCCAGATTAATAAAGTGACCAAGCCGAAAAGATGAATGATTGAATGAATGAAGAAAATATTTGAGTGGAGTAAGAAAAATAATCTTGTTGTTTTGAGTTATGTATTTCTTTGACTCCACTGGCAGATAAATAATTAGTTTTAAACTAACCTTATTTTAATTCACTTAAGTAAATGTATCTAAATGTAGGAATATTAAGATATCTGTCAAAGATCAATCAAAGACAAAAAGACACCAAGCAAGGGTTTTAAATCAGAAGAAATGTTAACATGGAGATTTTTTAATCTAATGGCAAATTGTGTCTGTAAATGTTTACAGACTGGCCTCATTGACTTCCACTGTACAGTGTCTCTCTTTAACCTGAAAGAAGTACTGTAGATGTTAACTTACATTATGACACAAATGCTGATGATTGAGTTTAAATTGTTCTCAACCCAGAATTTTCCTTCACAAGTATTTTCACATGACCACAACATTGTGCCTTTGAAACGTTGACAGGTTTGCATTTAATGCAAATCAAAGCAATTTCCATATTCACCTCATTCACTCACAGACCTTAGTGTGCTCACATCATAAACTAAAGGGATAGTTCACGCAAAACTGAAAATTCTGTCATCATTTACTCACCATTTATTTGTTTTGAGTTAAACACAAAAGAAGATATTTTGGAAAATGCTAGACACCAGTGACCATTTCTTACTGTGGACATCAAAATAAGTTTTCAGATATTTTCAAAAGCTCTTTTTGTGTTCAACTGGAGAAATAAACTCAAATGTTTGGAACAACTTAGGAGGACAATAATATTCATTATTTTTGTTGTAAACTATCCCTTTAACAAATGCAACTTAATAAACTTTGCTAAATTAAATTTGTTCCTAATTGTAAATTGCTTTGAATAGAAGCTTCAGCTAAATGCATAAGTATAATGTTATATCAGTGCTTCCCACGCATACATAGGCAGGCCGCACAGGTATATTTACGGCCACCCAAGTATATTTAGTGACACATTTTTTACCATTATTATCATCATGCTTTTGCACTATTTTGTATAACCAAACATCCGTGATCGAAGAACGATCCTCTCGTTTACCTGTTTTGTTCTGTGCGTGAAAACTGTCAATACTCCTAGAGACAGTTTCACATGCTCTGCAGAGACCCACACAGACGCGCCTTTTTGGCACTTAAGAAATTTGTCCAGCTGCGATTCTAGGTCTCCTAAAAAGTCTGGGGTTTAGCTTTTGCTTTCTAAAGCTGTCTTTATTTGTATTCGTTTTTGCATTACCTTTTTACTTAAGCCTACTTTCGCTTGGCTTCACAGCTGACTGCGCACACACTGCGTCCCGAGAGCGAGAGAAACATTCAATAATTCATTCTTGAATCTAATCGACTCAGAAAAACTTTATTATATGCTTGAAGAGGACGAAGTGAATGATCTAAACTGGCTGCAAAATATATGTACAGTACCCCATTAGTAATGGTTAATCAATGCATCTGCCATATTTAAATAATCTACACATTTTAATCTTGTAATTATAATAATTTTTAGAGATATTATCTGTTTTTAATTCCTTTTTATGTCATTTATTTCTCATTTGCTGTAAATTGTATTAATTTGATGATGTCATTAGGCTATTTTAAATAGGCTATTTTATATACATATTCAAAATGCTTTGGCATTCAAGTTTGCTTTGAACTTGAAAGTGAGTGAGAGATGCAGATTTTACCTGTCAGTAGGTGCTTAACCTCCTAGAGCTTAGTGGCCACATATGTGGAAAGCACATTTTAGCTCTTAAGTGGATATTTAAAATACTTTCAATGTTTTATATTTTGTTACAGACATACAGTGTCATCCTGCAACTGTTTTGCAGTATATGAAATGTCCCAAACACAATTTTTAACGGTCCAAAATGGGACAAAAATGTTGTTTTTACTCTCTGATAGCCAAAACATGTTAAAAATATATGTGTGTGTTATAAATGCATACAAAACAGTCAGGAAAAAGTGTTTTATGTAAATTCGGACCACAAGTCTACATATATTGACCTAATTTTTCTCTAAAAGTACATCTTATTAAAAGATGATACTTAGGTTTTATTCTAATTAGGTTCCAATAAGCCCAAATAGCAAAGATAAACTAAAAGTGTATGTAAATAAACATCTTGTGCCTTTTTAAGAGAGTATAAGAGAAATAATGGATTTATTTTTTATATCAAGTGTTTTTTTTACTTTAACCTATTAAAAAGAAAGTGTATAAGCGTCATAAAAATTTACATAAAATTATTAGTAAAAATTAAATTATATTTTGTTTGTTGCATAAAGTTAACTATTTATGTAAAGTGGGTAAATGGTGTTTTAATCCAGCTACCACAGCAAGTATTTTCCAAACCTCTGGGAAGCACTTGATATACACAAAAAAAGACCAACTGCCATAATATGAGAGGAAAATATATTCATTTATTGTGCATAAACAAACACAAGCAAACAATTAAATAATAATAAAAAATAACTCGTAGCACAAAGGCTCAAAACATAGGAATGCTCGTCTTACAACATATTCAGTCACAACAATGACCAAAAAACATGCTTAACATGTTTCTTAATATATAAATTTGCTGCGATATACAGATTTAACAGCTTTAAACTATGTAAAAGTCCATTGCTAAGCAGAGAGTGAACTATTTTACACCCCTTACTATTGACTTCCCCTTCCCAATTCAAGATTGCTTTAACCGTTCAGCATGTGAAATCGAATTAATCTCATGGAGTTCATGTCAGTTTTCCTCAGTGCACTGATCCAGAACTTCCATCATCTTTGCTTGAATCTCGAGCACCCTCGGACACCATTTGTCTCTCACTTCATCCTCATCGTCTTCGCTGACCGCATAGTACGCCATCAGTGCCATAAGACCGATATAAAACAAGTGAGTGATATGAGAGCACCTGGCCTCCATCACCTTTTTGTTCCTTTGGCAGTTTTCGAGATACACCTGCAATATGGGCCTCCCAAACAGCGCGACCCCCTTGACGCCACGATAATACTCAGTCAAGCTCAGATCCATCCCATCCTTCTCGTAGATCTTCTCAAACTCCTTCATATGACGTTCTGAGTTCTCAGGGTCTTTTCGGACGTTTTCCAGCATGGCGTTAAAAGCATTGTATTGATGCTTGATGACTTCCTCATGCTTGCCGTAAGTCTCGTTGATTTCGTCAATGCGAATCTGCCGAAGGGTTTGCTTGTTCTTCTCAGAGATGATTTCCAGTTTATCGTGGATCTCCTGGAAGTCTTTTTTCGCCTCTTGGTTTTCTTCGACAAGGCCATTTCTGACGACAGCAACCACTGAAGTCACGATCCCAAAGAGAGGGTTTATGGAGGTGGCGAATGAGGAGACTTTCTCCACGTAGAACAGCACTTTGGCCGCAGTCGCTTTGATCTGCTGATTGTCTGCCATAGATGGATCTTTGGTTCTTCAAGAGGTTTAATCTCGCTTGATTCTGAAATTAAAAGGAAATGTTTTCTTAATTCATTTCTCATATACATTATAGACCACTATGCTTTTGCAAAACTCCTGTGCTGAATAGCTGAATAGCATACACTGTAGGAAATATCAGTAAATTATCAGTTTTCCATATTTTGTGATTAATGCTTTAATTTTTTTGTTATTTCATGTTTATTTATGCTTTAGAATTGCATTTTGGGACCTTGATCTTTCTTCCAAATGAATTTAACCTTAAAAAAAGTTTGAAAAAGTGACTTATATTAACATTTTTGATAGTTTAAAGTGATATCTCGTCTGGGTTGGTGTTGTATATTAGGCTACAAAAACCTTGTAATAAGCTGCCAGTGCATATTCTGGTATTTTACTAACTTCTCTACATATTATTTCCTATCCATTATATTATTTGAAATGACTAATGTCAATAAAAGTCACTTTGTTAAACTCTAGAGTTGAATTTTCAAAATCAAAAGCTGACAGACCAGAGATCAACATCCCATAATGCAATAAATGGTAAGACTTTTTGGTCCCAATTGCACATTTTGTTGACTAAAAGTTGCATTGCAACTACATGCCAATTACTTCTCATTTGAGTATTAGTAGTAGACTGTCTGCTTAATATCTGCTGATACTACTCCTTCAACAGACATTTAACTGACTATCAGTAACTTTGCAAGTACATGTGAACTTACACTAACCCCAACCTAACAGTCTACTTATACTGTAATGAGAATTAGTTGGCATGTAGATGCAATGCAACTAAGAATCAACAAAATGTTAAAGGGACCACCAAAATAAAATAATACCCCGTAAATGAATTGAAAACACTTAATAATAATAATGATAATAATAATAATGTCTGTGAACATTAAATCAAAAATTATTATTTAAACATAAATTCTGCATGCTTTTGAGAATTAAAGTCATCGTTTCATTTATTACAAAAGTAACTAAATGCATAATGTTTGTAGTGTTTTCAGCATTTGTTGACACTAAATAGGAACATGTCAGAATGGGGAACGTTTTATTGTTTAATTTTAGAAAAATTAACATGCACATGCGGAAATTGTATAGTATGTGACAAATATATTACCATTTTGCACTACAATTTATTCTGATTAAAAATAATAATAATATTAATAACTAGTTATTATTAGTTTTAATTATTATAATAAATGTATTATTGTACAATTGTTCATTCAGCTTTAAATTTTAATAGGGAAAATGCAAGTGAAAAACTTATTTCATAGGGTTGATAAAAATGTAACTAAATAAATTACTGGTAAATTAAAAAGTTTTAAACTTTAATTAATTGGACATGTTTTTTGATGATAAAATATTTGTAACCATTATTAAAATAGCAGTTTTTACTCTGAAAATAGCTTTTAAATTTGAGGAATAATTACAAAGAAAAAGAAAGTAAAACACAGAATTAAACGATTGTTAATAATAATATTGTTGAGTAAATATTATTTTCTTGAATATTTTAATAAAATTAGTGTAATTTCTGTGCTTTGTAACCTTAAGTGTGTAACATTGCATACTTTATTTCACAGTGCATTTTTTTATACGGAAACTAGACATGCAATGTCAAAACAAAGCAATGCACTAGGACATTTCCTTCTCTGCTCGAGTATAAATTAATACTAAACTTGTATACTAGGGCTGCATGATATTAGAAAAATCTGACATTGTGATATTTTGTTTTGCTGCAATATATATTGCGATGTTTATCAAATTATTTAAATAGCTCTATTTGGAAAGATTTCATTGAAATTATAATAAATAACAAGCAAAAATAAATAAATAAGTTCAAGTATAAATTAATTCTAATCCAGTATACGGAATACAGTTGAAGCCAGAAGTTTACATACACTCTAAAAAAAGGAACATAAGCATTTTTTTAATGTCTGATGATAAATAATAATAAACGTTTATTATTTTAGGTCCCTTGGGATTAGCTAAATGATTTACATTTGCTAAATGCCAGAATAAGGAGAGAATTATTATTATTTTTTGATTAAATTTTTTTTTTAATTTCTAGACAGTCAAAAGTTTACACACATTTATTTGGTATTTTTTTTAGCTTTGCTTTTTAACTGTATAACTTTGGTCAAATGTTTTGGGTATCCTTCCACAAGCTTCTCACAATAGTTTGAAGGAATTTTGGCCCATTCCTCCTGACAGAATTGGTGTAACTGAGTCAGATTTGTAGGCTGTCTTGCTCGCACAAGCTTTTTCAACTCTACTCACAAATTTTCTATAGGATTGAGGTCAGGGCTTTTTGATGGCCACTCCAAAACATTCACTTTGTTGTCCTTAAAGCACATTTTAACTAATTTGGCAGTATGCTTAGGGTCATGGTCTGTTTACAAGACCCCTTTGTGGCCAAGTTTTAATTTCCTGGCTGATGTCTTGAGACGTTGCTTCAGTATTTCTACATAATGTTCTTTCTTCATGATGCCATCCATGCTGTGAAGTGGACCAGTCCCTCCTGCAGCAAAACACCCCCACAACATGATGCTGCCCCCCCCATACTTCACAGTTGGGATGGTGTTCCTAGGCTTGTAAGCTTTCCCTTTGTCTTCCAAATGTAACACTGGTCATTATGGCCAAACAGTTCAATCTTTGTTCCATCAGACCACAGGACATGTCTCCAACAATTATTATCTTTCCCAGTGTAATTTAGCAAACTTTAATCTGGCTTTTTTGTTGATTCTGGCTTGTTGATTTTTACATGTTGTCACACAAGGAAGCAGTGTGTTTGAGGGTTTCCTTAAATACTATTCTACAGCTGTGCCTCCAATTAACTCAAATGTTGTTAATTAGCCAATCAGAAACTTTCAAAACCTTGACACCATCATCTGAGCTTTTTCAGCGGCATAATAATATTATTGTATGTAAACTTGACATTCAAGAAAAGTTAACAATTTTCAAAAAATATCTCTCTCATTATTCTGCTATTGAGCATAATAGAAACAAATGTGATAATCCTAACTTACCTAAAAGAGAAAAAGTTTAATCACATTAACATCTGACCTTTTTTTTTTTTAAATGGTTGTGTGCCATTTTTATACAGTGTATGTAAACTTCTGGTTTCAACTGTATTTCTATACGCGTAGGCACAGTTTTAAGGAATAGCCAAGCCAAGAAAGGCTTTTCAATATTTTTTTCTATATTTTTCAAGTGCCTTGGACTGATTTTTGCTGTTTATTTTGATAAACCCTAGCCCAAAGAGCACCGACACATTATTTAAGGTACCCCTGAGCACTTTTTGTTTGATTTTAGATGCATTTTTCTGTATTTTAGCTTAAGATTTCACTCAATACTGAAAACAATCAAATACTTGAATGCAAATCAAAGATGATTATTTTAGGGTTGCATTATTTTAACGTTTATATAAATACACTTTACAGTATTACGCTGTTTACTTAGCAACATACGTCAGTCTTTATTGGAATCAACCGAGTGATTCATCTACTTTTATTTGATTTGCTGCAAAATGCAACTCTTTGCAGTTCAATGACCATTAGATTTTACCTTATGTTTACCTTACTCGTGGGTTTTGATAGTTTGCAGTTCAATGACTGTTAGATTCTACCTTATGTCCTAAATTATCTATTTTCTGTGACTGTAAGAGGTTGCTGTCCAGTTCTGAATCCGTATTTGGAGCTGTAGTATATTCCGTCTTTTCCTGATAAGTAATAATTAAACATTTACACTAGAAAATATAATAATAATAATAATAATAATATATTAAAAAGGTATTTTAAAATTAAGAAAATATAAGACGTACCATAACATTTAACGCCTTTACACACACTTTTTGCACTTTCAGAAAGGACACACACAGGAAATACTAACCCAAAACAATTAGATTAGATTATGGATTATTTAATACACACATATCTAAAACAGGTTTGCACAGTAGAACAAACTAAACTAGTATTTCTACAACTAAAACTGCTGATAAGCACGTTGGGCTTGACAGACCCATTAAACCACACCACATGGCACAATGAATGATGTCATACTTGTGGTTTAACATATCTTTCCTCACAACAAACTAAAATACTTTTTAAAAGCAAAAGTTTTCTCCTACAACACACAGTCAGTCATTGTCAGTTCACTGAAAAACTGATTTCTAGCCTGAATGACTGGCAGTTTGGCTAGTAAACATGCTAATCACATTAGCTAATAAGGAAGGTTAGACTAACAGCAATGCTAAGCAACGTAAAACCACAATATCATGTCATATACATGTCACAGGATGCACGTGAAGGTCCTAAGCTACTAATCTTACCTGTAAATGCGTCTGTAGCTGCTCTGTTCCTAATGGAGCTGCTGCTGTTTTTGAGCAAGCAGCCACCATTTCACTGTAGCTCTGAGAAACAGCCCCTCCCTCTCTCACATATAAGGGCAGGGTGTGGGAGTGACTCATACCAAAACAATGCTGATTGGCTTAGGAGGAGGAAAAAAAATGCATGCAGCTTTTCCGCAATCCCCATTCTGAAGCGCACACACACACACACACACACACACACACACACACACACACACACACAGACGCCCTGCATGGAAAATGGCTGCAATGGGTTCTGTAATGAGTGTCTTCTCTTATAGACAAGAATAAATGGGGCCGATGAGTAAATTAGAGATTGTCTGGGTGAAAGAAATAATAAGAGGAAATTCCGACAGAGACTATAGTCTAATAATATTAATGTATAGTGTATGAGTCAGCAATATTGTTTGTTGGTTTGGAAAAAATATACTTTGATATGCATAACAAATGCAGAATGGATTGTAAAACAATTCTTACAGTTGACCACATTCAGCTCGTGTCTCATGAATGAGACTGCGTGTGTGTAAAAATTCAGGAAGCAGGTATGTCCTGTCGTGGTTTGTCTGGTTAAGTGAGAAAAAAAAAACATTGAAGCTTAAACAAAGGGTGAATATTCGCTGAAAGGAATAGTATGGCAAGCCATTTTAACATTTAATCTATAAACCACTGTATATTAGTATCTTTTTTTTTTATTCTATGAGTACCTATTTTTTCGATACTGGTATATTTTCTATCTATTTATTTAATACTAATGCATATTCTTTAGCTACTAGCACATAAAAAAAGATACGGGTATACTAGTACTAGCTGGTGGACCAACCTGGTTTTAGAGGGGTTTTGGCCATTTCCAGGCTGGTTTCCAGCTATTTCCAGCCTGGTCTTAGCTGGTCAGGCTGGGAGATGACCAGCTAAAACCAGCTTGACCAGCCTAACCAGGCTGGGAGCCCAGTCAAAACCAGCTGTGTCCAGCTTAAACCTGGCTGGTCAAGCTGGTTTTAGTTGGTTTTAGCTGGTCATTTTCCAGCCTGACCAGCTAAAAACAGGCTGAAAATGGCTGTAAACCAGCCTGGAAATGGCCAAAACCCCTCTGAAACCAGGCTGGTCAACCAGCAAAAACCAGCCAACCAGCTTAGGCTGGTTTAAGCTGGATTTTTCAGCAGGGTGAATCTACCCAGCAGGCACAGGATGTCAACATGAAGTAAGATTGACGTTGTAGCCCAACCTCGTGGGGACTTTTAATTTTGTTTGGACTAATAAATCGGGTCTACATCAGAACCCAATGTCAGGCCGACATCAATGTCCAACCTAAAATCAACCCAATATCACTGTCTAATGATGTTATAGCTTGACATTGTGTTGATGTTAACACTATGACGTCTATCAGACGTTGGATTTTGGTTGCAATACCTGACAAATAAATGTCAGGATTTGTCATCAATAAGACGCTGGTTTAAGATGTCGACTTGACGTTGGATTTTGGATAGACCTAAATCTAACCTCATATTAACGTCTCATGATGTTTTGTACCTACTGCGTACTAGCAACTTAATAGGTACTAGATACTAGTACCTATTAAACAGACAATAGTTTATAGTATACTTCATTACATACTTTTAATTATTAGATACTACTCATTCATTAGCTACTTATTTCAATAGTTACTTAGCCGTTAATTGGTTGTTGACTTTAATGGTTATCAGTCACAGAGATATCAGCTATTCACTTAGAAGTATTGAAAATAGTACATGTGTTTTTGTTCATACTTAATCATTTTATACTACTTATTAGTAGATACTAGAGGTGTAAGGGTATTTGTTTTCATCACAGTACGTGGGTAACGATTCGGTTCATGCACTTCCATAACAAAAACAGTCAGTAAAGTTGTGCAGTCACTAAAGTTAAGGCCTGTGCACACCGAGACATTTTTTGCTCGCGTTTTCCGTCAATGTTTAATGCCTTGGCAACTAAACAACGGGCGTTAATGTGATTGTGCACACCAACTCGCAAAACGGCAGGCGCAAAAGCGGCATTTTGAAAAAACTCATGCTCGTTTTTTTTGTTTTGACGCGCTGCATCAAAATCTTCTCCACCAATCATATCGGCACTTTTGCTCACGTGCACGGAGCTGCTGAAGTTACAGTAAACAGCACTTGGAGGCGCTCAAGCGTTGAACTGTCAGTGTGAGCGCACATTGAAGAAGATGTCCAGAGGCGATATGAACGTGGAGCTGCTTATTGCACTGGTGAACAATCATTTCTTCATCGCTAGAACTGAAGCTGCTGCTTGAACTATCCATGCTTGTTCGAGTCACCAGTAACTTTAACAACAAACGTGTGAACTTCCTCTCCTCCTGTTCTTGTGTTATAAGCGGGTGTCAGAAGCTTAAAGTTGTGTAGCGCCATCTAACGCCAAAAGAGTAGTTTTGCATACTCTTCAGCTTGACGCCAGTGAAAAGCGCTTTGGTTTGAATAATGAAAAACGTCTCGTAAAACGCTGACGATAAACGCAAACGAAAAGCGTCCCGGTGTGTAGGAGCCTTTAGGCAAAAAAAAAAAAAAACCCACAGAACTGCAACAACTTAGGAGCAATTCACAAAGAACCTGCCTGCATTCAGAAGTGGTTCTGCCTGTCATTAAATTTGGTAAACAGAAGCTCACAACGTTTGCCCTACCTTTGAGTTTTTCCGATTGGTCCACTGCTTTGGGACTGACAGTAATTGACGCCACTGCATGTAAAAGTTTAATGTTTTATCTTGACATGCTGTCTAAAATGCATTAGGTTAAGTTCTAGGTTATTTATCAAAATCTAATTTTAGATTATGTTTTATCTTGACATGCTGTCTAAAATGCAGTACTCGTGTGTGAGGTACTGCAGAAGATGCGAGTGGACACACACCTCCATCAACCACGTTTACACTGGAAATATAAGACTCATCTCGTGCTCACACATGTCTGGGTCTTTCCTTATACACGTGCACGAGATTGAACATGAGTGTCCACTGCACCTGCTGTTAGAGTGTTAACATTTTCATTAAAAGACATTTTAGTTTTGAAGCTTATAAAGGGACTAAGCTTAAAATTAATGAATAAATGAATGAAGCTTACTGAATTTATGCACAATTACTGGTTTTCTGTTGTTAGGAGAGAGTTGGGCTCAACCTTTCATTCATTCATTCTTTCATTCATTTATTTATGTTCCTTCAGCTTAGTCCCTTATTAATCAGGGGTCGCCACAGCAGAATGAACCGCCAACTATTCCACCATATATTTTATGTAGCGGATGCCCTTCCAGCTGCAAACCAGTAACCATGCAACACTCATACACACTCATACACTACGGGCAATTTTTGCTAAAAAGCAAACACTGGGGATTTGTTATTATCCCTGTTGTACCGTATGCACATCAAACTGTCACCCCAAAACTAAAGTACGACTCCGTGTACGGTTACACCTCTAATACTCATTATATTATAGTTTTTATTTCACAGAAACTAGTATGTATTGTTTAGATGCTAGTATTTTAGGTAATTTTATTTAATGAATTATGTGCTTTTTTCTTTCTAATAAATACAAATACCTATTTAATGGATACTATTGGTTGATTATTATGTTATTTATTAAAATCAGATTTTAGATAATGACTTTTCTTCATAGATGTCAATGGCAGAAATCACTAATGAAATAAGTACTTGTATTTCATGAATATTAATTAGCGTTTTAAAAAAACAGGTACTGTTATCATGGAAACAGATACTAGTAGAGTTCATTGATGAAATGTTAAAACAGCTTGCCGTAGGAGAATCTGTCAGGCAACTGTGCGTGTCAGCTGCCATTTGAACAGCTGTATGAGAGTCAAGTTCATGACAGATGCGAGGTGTGAGCTGGGCTTTGTGGGTCTGTCTGTAAATGGAGCATTGGAGGATTTCTTTGAGTAGTGTGCATTGTGTATTTGGAGGAAAAGGTCACATTTCCAGTTTTGTTTAATAGAGAATTGGAGACATACTCAAGTCCAACCAGTTAAGACATGAAAATGAGCTCTTACGTTGCAGTGAAAACGATTGGATGGTCGAAATGAAGATCTTGTTTTTTTTTTCTTTTCAATCACCTGCAGAACAGAACAACAACAACCAAAAAACTTTGAGTGACATCAAAGCACAATCAGAAAGTTTTAGGTCAGTTATCACTTGAAATTTCAAGAATGATGAGTGAATGTCCTCACATGTTTGTTTGCTATCCTATAACAAGTTCTGAAGCATTTTGTTCTTCAATTAAAACAATTGTTGTAGTATTTATATGTAAATGGATTAAAGATGTCCAATTTTTGTGTCTGCATCAAATTAAAAGTGTTTTATATACATAAGAAACAGAAAATACATTGTATATGAGTAAATAATCTACTTTAATGTTCTGTGATATTTAATTGTGGGTGAAATAACATTCCTAACAGCTTAGATCAACAGCATGTTAAAGTTCTTCTGGTGAAAAAGATACAATATCAGTTTAACAGGTTATCAGTGTTTGACACATGAAAGAAAATGACTTCAAAGGAACATTATCATTTATCCTGAAAACCAGGTTATATATTTATAGGTTATGTATCTTGGCATGGCAAATTAAATGTCTAAACCGCTACTTCAAGCAAATAAACAGCAATACTCTTAAGTCAAAGTGCATTATGGTTATGTAAAATCAAATAAAAAATAAATAAATAAAATATTATTCTACAAAGGGATTGCTATAATTGTCAGTCATGTCAGCTTGTTGTTGTGGACTCCCAAAACCACATTATGAGCCTTTATAATCCATATTCATTTATTTTCTAAAGAATTAAAAAAAATCCCCTCTTCCCCATTTCCAACCAAAAAGACAGACATAAAATTAAAAGATACATCATTTTGGTGTAATATGATCATTACTGCAAGGCTTTATATGTGAACCAACAGTCTAACTGCAATATGTTTTAGGTTTTATATGCAAACTAGTCAATATACAAAGTTAGAGGTTTGATATTAAGAGACTAGATCATATATTGTGACCAACCAATCCTATTTTTGTTTTCTGTTTGCTATGATTTTACATGTCGTGAAACTAGTTAGCAGATGCAACACACTGTTATACTAGTTGTTGTATGCATTACACTGAAAAAAGTGTTGCATGCAGAACTGTTGCAAACAATTTATTTGTGTTGAATTTAAACAAACAAATTACGTTTATTAATGTTTAACTTAATTTGTTTGTTTAAATTCAACACAGATAAATTGTTTACAACCACCTTACGTAAAAAAAAATTGAGTAAATCCAACGAGTCCTCTCTGAATAATTTTTTTCAGTGTACCAAGAGATACCAGTTTCCCATTGTGTCTGGATCGAATTGAATATAAAAAGTGCTTTTATATACAGTTGAAGTGAGAACTATCAGGCCCCCTGTTTCTGTTTAAAGGAGAAAATATTTTATCAACACATTTCTAAACATAATAGTTTTAATAACTCATTTCTAATAACTGATTTTTTTTTATCTTTGCCATGATGACAGTAAATAATATTTGACTAGATATTTTTCAAGACACTTCTATACAGCTTAAAGTGACATTTAAAGGTTTAACTGGGTTAATTAGATTAACTAGGCAGGTTAGGCAAGTTATTGTATAATAATCGTTTGTTCTGTTGACTATCAAAATAAATAGCTTAAAGGGGCTAATCATTTTGTCCTTAAAATGGTGTTTAAAAAATTAAAAACTGCTTTTATTCTAGCTGAAATAAAACAAATAAGACTTTCTCCAGAAGAAAATCTATTATCAGACATACAGTTAACATTTCCTTGCTCTGTTAAACATCATTTGGGAAATATTTTAAAAAGGAAAAAAATTCAAAGGGGGGCTAATAATTCTGACTTTAACTGTACATAGAAAACCTATTGTGAGTAAACAATCTACATTAATCTTCAAAAAATATTTGTGAAAATGAAATCTGTGTAACATTCCACCTCTTTTCAGCTCGTAAAACTTTAAAAGTTCTTCTATTGAAAAAGGACAGTATCAGTTTAACAGGTTATGGGTGTTTATGACACATCAAAGAATGCGACTACTGAAGAACATTACAGCATAACAATTACGCTGAAGCATAAACCAGGTTATACAATAATTTTTTTATTAAACTCTTGGCATGGCATCTTAATGGGATAGTTAACCCAAAAAAATATTCTTTTATCTTTTCTTCAACCATTTACCTTTAGCAAACCTTTATAACTTCCTTTATTCTGTTGAACACAAAAAAAAGAAGATATTTTGAAAAATGTTGGAAACCTGCAACCATTCATTCATTTTCTTTTCGGCTTAGTCCCTTTATTAATCTGGGGTCACCACAGTGGAATAAACCGCCAACTTATCCAGCATATGTTTTACGCAGCGGATGCCCTTCTAGCTGCAACCCATCACTGGGAAACACCATACACTCTCATTCATTCACATTCATACACAATGGACAATTTAGCTCAACCTAATTCACCTATAGTGCATGTCTTTGGACTGTGGGGAAAACCAGAGCACCCGGAGGAAACCCACGCCAACACGGGGAGAACATGCAAACTCCACACAGAAATGCCAACTGACCCAGCCGAAACTCAAACCAGCAACCTTCTTGCAGCGAGGCGATTGTGATACCTACTGCGCCACCGTGATGCCTACTTGTAAGCATTGTAGGAAAAACAAATATGGATGTCAATGAATACAGGTTTTCGGCTTTCTTCAAAGCATCTTCTTTTGTGTTCAACAGAAGAAAGAAATCGAAGAAAGAAATATGTAAAGTAAATATTGAGTAAATATTCATCTTTGGGTGAACTATCCCTTTAATCTATTATTCCTTAACCAATTAACTAACACTCATAAGTGCATCATGCCCAAATAGTAATTTAATTGAATTGTTACTAAAAACACCTCAGCTTACAACTTATATATGAATTATTATATATGTCTTTATATATACATACTGTAAACTCCACACAAGCAACAGGTCAACGTAGTTAGGACTCAAGTGAACAACAACATAAACTTAACATTTACATTTGCAGGATGCAAAAGTGCTAAAGAGATAATGGTGTAGTAGTTCAGTAATTTAGAGAAGTGGGCTTCAGTTACACTGATGAAGATTCACTTAATAAGTAATGACTTATTGTGATAGTAATGACTTAATGTAATAGTAGCTATGCATCTGCCTTTAATGGTTAAAACTGTACTAAGAGCTTGAAGGACCAAATGTAGGGCTGAATCTCTGAATTAAAGAATGAGTGCACATGTTTACGTCTCATTCCCACTGGAGCCACAGCCCTTTATTCCCGTTCCATCCAAAGGGGGCAGTAATTTACTTTTTTTTTTTGGAGTTCTGATTAAATCAGCGGACAGTGACACAGTGAAAGGGTGTCATTGCCTCTGATGCCCCCAAGAGGACTAAAAATTAACTCTTTAAATGCTGTACACTTTTAGGATACAAATATAAACGTGAACTCAGATCCTTCACCTTTGTAGTCTTTAGGCATTTAACATGTCTAGTGCCACATCTCATGCAAAACAACACTTATTATACTAATTAAAGCTATTATTTAACTCTTATTTCTGTATTACATTTTAAAAATATGAATCTACATTTAAAATATAGAAATACTTCCCCCTTATTTTCAACAAAAAAAAGACATAATATCAAAAGATGCATCATTATGGTTTAATAAGATCATCACTGAAAGGGTTAATATGTAATCCACAACAAACAAAAGTGTAACTGATAAATTGTGTTGGTTTAATATGCATAAATAAATAATTAAATGCTGTGATATGCTTTAATTAGTCAATAAACTGTGTTAGTTAGCAACTAAATTACTTACTAATCAGAAACTAGTACATATTTTGCACTTAACTAGTCCTACTTGTCATGCCTAACTAGATAAACAGTTCATATTAGAGTGTTTACATGCCACAATCACTTAATTAAGACTAGAAGGTGATCTCTGGTTAAGGCTACATCTCTTCAGATGCATTATACTAACTATAGCTTTGATTGTTAATTACTTAATTGTCTAATATACATAATTTTCTAACATGTTAAATTGAAAAGAGTGTTATAAGCTTGAGTGCAGAGTAAACACAGAGTGCCGAGTGAGTCAGGAAGTAAGGCGTCCCAACAGCAGTCACTACTCTAAGGAGCGGCCATCTTTAAAGCTCTCCACCAGTGCACTCACAGAGGCTAATCTGTCAAAATTAGCTTTTAAACCCGCACAAATGCTCTCAAATATTTACATTTTCCATATTTACATAACATTTAAGTGTGATTTATTCCTCTGGGACCATCATTAACCTGCTTCCCCTCTTTCTTTTGTGCAGCTTTGCCTGTGTGTCAATTTAGCCACTTCCCTTGGATAAGCTGCCAGAAGATTAAGCCAGAACAATTGCAGACCATCTTTATCAAGCCAAAACACAACAATTAAACATCTTCCCTGTGTTTTCCCAACCAGTGTGAGTATTTTAGAGTCTCCAGCTTATTTGGAGAGGTTGACTTTTTCAGTCAGCTGCAGTTTGCCCGGTTATAGCTCCCCCTAGCAGCTCCCTCCATATTTCCTTGTTCATGCTAGCCTTGATATCTATTCTCACCCTATACAGACACCATGCCAAGACCTTTAAAAATCCATATACAGGCATGCATTAGGGCCAATATACATCCCAATGAGCCCATCCATCCATTAGTGGCCTGGCCATTGGAGAACACAGCTCTTCCTACCTCTTCAGATTGCTACCTCCTTCTCCAAAGTCCCAATCCCGACTGTACTTCTTCTTCCCAGCAAACACTGCAAAAGAGGCTCTTCCATTTTAGCTCAATATGGAGGGGTGTTCAAATTGGACTATACCATTTAAAATGGCCCTAAGATGGCTGTGGAGCCTCAAAAAGGGCCCTTTGGCCACCATATAATGCAGGTCTCCACTTGCTCCATGACAGAAGCAAGAATGAACCCCTATTGACCAGCCCCCTCCTAGAGCTACAGATGACCTCCCCCAATGACATTCAAATATTCCAGCCTTCCAACAGTCAGATAGTGTCTATACAGAGAGCCGACTGTCACTTCTGGAGCAGCTGAGGGCACAGAAAACCTCCAGACAGGCCAGCTGCCAAGCTCTGCCATTGCTCACAATAGGTGCAAGCTGTTTGTGGGGGGCTTATTAGTCAAATAAAGATTTAAATAATAAATTAAGAGCTAGAATAAACCAAATGTGTTAAAATAGGGCAGAGAAATATGAGACATCTATTGCATATGCTGGCACTGAGATAAAAAGGATACATTTCTATTGGTGCCCAAACAGGACACCTGTTTCTAGCATTAATAAAACAAAACTTAACAATCTTAGCAATGGTTATTAAATTGCATTTTAAGGAATACTGAGTAGTTAGGGTATATATGTACTGAATTGAGACAAATAATTGCCGTATAACTGTTTTTACCAATATAAACTGCCTTTTTATGTTGATTTCTGCTGGTACAGGCATTTCCATGCTTCTGTTCCTTTAAATGCAAGAAGGAAGCACTAAAATGAGTCTCTTTAATGCATAATTCATTGAACAATGGCTATATTAGTCAAAATAAAATAAAAAAAAACCCAACAAATTAATAAACAAACCAATTCACTTTTTCTAGGTAAAAGGAACGTGTTTTCAGTGGTGTCAAAATATTGCACCTCTTTTATGCAATAATTAAATTACAAAGCTTAAAAGCCTTTGCATTGGAATTGTAAATATCTTTTAAGGTATACTGATTAACATACAGTATATCTACTGATTTCAGAGCAACTGTTGTTGAATGGCTGTTGTATATCAATTTGAAATGCCTTTTTATCACACTTTCTGATTCATAGTCATTCCTGAGCTCTTGTTCCTTTAAATATAACAAACTTGCTGTAAAATGAGCTGTTAGGATGTTTTTTAGTGCATGCATTGGTGTAGAATAACAATTATAATCCAATAAAACAAGAAATAATTTTTAAAAACGTCCCAATTAATTCCTTGGGGTCAGTTCTTGTTAAAACAGTCACATTTTCAACAGACTACCTGACTAAAGTCTTGTCGCCTATTCAAGTTTTAGAAACAACAGGTAATAGCTTGACTTTTAGTTGATTATTTGGTATTAGAAGTGGCTTATATGAAAGGCGAATGCCTCTAGTTTACGTTTGTTTTTCCAAAATAAAATATGACAATGCCTTGATTTTAAATTATTTTATTAGGACAGTAAGGTCTGACTTTGCTTAGACAAAAGTCTTGTCACTTAACAAAAATAATGTGCAGTGTAGAATATAAAGTCATGGAGCAGTGGAAAAAGAATGAACATTGTGTATGACTCCCATGAGCTTGGAGGACTGCATCTATACATCTCTGCAATAACTCAAATAGCTTATTAATAAAGTCATCTGGAATGGCAAATAAAGCGTTCATGCAGGACTCCCAGAGTTCATCAAGATTCTTTGGATTCATCTTCAATGCCTCCTCCATCTTACATCAGACATGCTCAATAATGTTCATCTCTGGTGACTGGGCTGGCCAATCCTGGAGCACCTTGAGCTACTTTGCTTTCAGGATCTTTGATGTGGAGGCTGAAGTATGAGCAGCGCTATCCTGCTGAAGAATTTCCCTTCTCTTGTGGTTTGTAACGTAATGGGCAGCACAAATGTCTTGCTACCTCAGGCTGTCGATGTTGCCTTTCACTGCAGATCTCTTGCATGCCCCCATACTAAATGTAACCCTAAACCATGACTTTTTCTTCACCAAACTTGACTGATATCTGTGAGAATATTGGGTCCATGTGGGTTCCAATAGGTCTTCTGCAGTATTTGTGATGATTGGGATGCAGTTCAAGAGATGATTCATCAGAAAAATCTACCTTCTGCCACTTTTCAAATGATCAATTAGACGGCAAGTTTTTTTACTCTTACAACTGGGATCAACGACAAGACCTTTGTCAGGTAGTGTATGACACACACTTCTATTATTGATCAAGCAACAAGCAGTGTAATTTAAAAATTGACTGATGTGTACTGATTTGAGGCCAGTGAGTGTTGAATTACAGTTTTACTAAAATGCCTTTTCACCATTACAGATATGTACAGGCTACTTTTTTCTTAAAAGTACTGTACATCAAACATGTTCTAAACAGTGGTTATTTGTCCTTTGCCATTGTTCAGTTGTCATGAATCAGCATACAAAAGCAAACATTTAATCTAGTTAAACAAAAATTACATATAAATAAATAAACCAATGAATTGTTTTGAGATCAGTGCATCATATTCTGACTTTCAATAACTTTAGTGTACTGTAGTAGCATATTTTGTATCTTGATAGCCTGACATTTAATAGAGACAAAAAAATTGTTTTGTCTGCTCAATATGGAAAATGATGTCTGCTAAATAACTACTGTAGAAGAAATAATGTATCTAAATGCACAAAGTTGTGCATTCGCTATCATAATCATGGAGGCCATTGAATATTCGGTCTGAAATCGCAAGCAATGACTTCAAAACAGCACTATTTAATTGACTGAACAATGTTGTACATTAGTCATTTACTGTTAAATTAAATTAATGTTAATATTTCTCGTTACGAATTAGGAAAGAACACTTGCAAGAAATTATACTGTTAAGGAGAAAGTTGGAATGTGCAAAATTTGCGAATAATAACTTATATAACCAACTTTACCTCAATCCTGATGTTTTGTCACGGCAACGTTAATCCGTGCTTATTTCATGATTTCACTCCGTTGTTGTTGTTTTTTTTAATATACTACGTTAAAATTGCAGGTGCTAAATCGTTAGCGTTAAACATGCTACAAAAATATAAAATGTAATAACACTTACCGAAGTCGCGTAGTAAAAGTCGGAATAGCTAACGTTACAGATCAAAGTGAGATTACAATGAATTTTTGAACATTTACCTATTTTGGGACAAGTGTGCATTATCTCCACAAGTCCCAGGGGTGCGAACACAATCCAGCATGCGAGAGTCATTTGTTCAGACAGGCATCCGTTAACTGCCCTTAAGCCTCGTGTTATTAACCCAAACAATAGTTCGGTAACCTGGGGCTGGAGATATACTAATCGAATTTCCACCGCTCATCTTAGGCTGGGTCGCTAACTCATTGATTTAATGTAACATTTACATTTAGTTTCAATATCTAAAAATAAGAACGTAAACAGAACCATTTTATTTTGCATTGACTTTAATTTATACTTTAATTGATTTTTAAATGTCTTACCCTCAAGTTTATGTATCATGTCCATTTTTTGCTTCTCTTTCTTTCTCTCTCTTGTGTCTTTTTCATTGATAGTGTAATTCATATTTTGTATTGTAAACAAATATTACCATAAACTTTTCAATTATTATTATTATTATTATTATTATTATTATTATCATTTTTTTGCAAATAAAAAAAGTAAAGGGAAGGTAGGATCTTTGCTAATGGATCACATTCATTCATTAATTTATTTTCCTTTGGCTTAGTCCCTTTATTGATCAGGGGTCGCCACAGTGAAATGAACCACCAACTTATCCAGCATATGTTTTACACAGCGGATTTCCTTCCCTGCTGCAACAGTACTGGGAAATTATTTTCTTTGTTTGTTTGTTTATTTATTTATTTTTTGTTTATTAATTTGTTTGTTTCTGTTACTATTTACATAACTATTAAAATCCCTAATTTAGGCCTACTTTAAAATGTAAACAAATGTAAAATATGTATACATACGTAATTATTCATTCTCAGCATTTCTGGAGTAGTGTTGATATTTGTTTTAACTTACAAAGGTCTGAAACATTTCCTCTCTTGTAATTTATTACACAAATGTAAAATACCAAATAAAGCCTTTCCCTCCATGTACTGTATGTGTGCCTTAATCTGTTTTGTATATTGTGGGCTGTGCAATATAACCTTGTTGATATATGAATTAGAAGCATAAAATTGCAGTTGTTAGATCTGTTATTAATTATGACACACTGATTGCTGATGCTTTTAAAAATCTTTTGTGAACTTTTTGCAGATCTACTGTTTATCAGTTTTACATGCATGAAATCTAAAGTGATACAGTCTGTTTAGAAGGAGTTCAGGGTTTGATTTTTGCCAATTAAAGCCTTCATCCTGCAAAAGTTAATGGAAAGAGAAAAGAGCATTGGAAATTGTCTATGTTTACGTTCCATTCAAAATTTGATATTTAATGTACTGTAATAACTGTTATTCAGACAGAGTAGAAGCCCTTATAAGATGACTTTTGCACTGATTCATAGTATTTCAGGCATGTAACATAAGTGGAAAATCCCAGACAGATCACGGGACTCCTGCGTGTGGGTACTGTCCATGGTGCTGCAGGATTTTAAAGACTTCCATTATTTTCCTCTGGGATTTGGATTTGGAGGTAAGGTAGATCATGCATTTTGTTTGCATTTTGTTAAATGACATCTTGATCATGTTGCCCTCAAGTATTCTTCAACAGTCACTGAAAATTAAGATTATTTTCAGTGTTTTCTTTGAAAAGCTGCTTTGACCCATTTTGCATTGAATAAAGCGCAATAGAAATAAAACACTTGACCATGTCACATTTATGGTTTTAACTTTAATTCTGGCACAATTCAGTCATAGTTCAGCTCAGTAATACAGTGGAAAGTGTTTCTATGTCAGTTCACCAGGGCAAATTGAAGAACAAAACAATTGTATGAAATTACTTTTTGACTAACCCTAATTGTTTGATAAGCAAAACTGACTATAAACTCCTGATAGAATTTTATTTTAGGTCACGAAAAGAAAGAAGACAAATATTGTAGCAGATGTTCTGCTTATTTCATATATCCAAGTAAGTTTTCTCGTTTTCTTTGTTTTTTTTTTTCATATCATAAAAAATACATTAATAGTTTGTTGTTTTTCTGAGAACATGAAAAAAAAACTTCCCTTTTTAAAATGTATTTATTGTTATCTCTGTGTTGAATTATTTCTCTCTTTATATATTGTGTATTTTGCATGTGGCAGGCCTTGTATGGAAGACATTTTCTTACAGAGACAATTAAAATTATTTTATTTTATGCTATCCTAAAACAAACAGCCCAAGTAAAAAAAACTGTAGCACTGAACAAGAATACAATTAATTATGGTATCGTGAAACCGCAGAACAATAAATATTTGGAATTGCATTAAAAAAACAAAAAACTACAAAATCATTTCTAACTCTATACAGTATAGGATTTGTAATCATGCGTGCTCATTTTGTGTTGCTGTAACCACACAAAAAAAGTATATGAACAATTAGTCATGACAGCATGTTTTTAGCTTATTGTAACTTAAGTTCATGTTCTAACTTTATTTTATAATTTATGCAAGCAGTTTATAAAGTCAGTTTAACACAAGTTCTCGTAAGGTTAATTTGATTCAGCTTAAAATTTTAAGGCAACCAGGATTTTTTACAGTGCTGCAGCTCTGATTCATGGCATGTAAATGTTCTTTAGCACCAGCAGGGTATTCAAAAAATAATAAATCCATAGTCTAAATAAAATGCATGCGTTTCTTGTGGTGTAGCTTTTTTATTTTATTTTTTTTATTTGTTATCAATCTATTTTATAACTGTAACAAGAGGCAATTCAATCATATCTTAATGTTAAAACAGCTATCATAACAGTAATAACCAATATATGTGGCTCTTTTTGGATTCTCGGAAGCCATAGAAATCAAAAATGTGAAAAAAGGAAAAAAAATAATTAAAAAATAATATATATATATACATCAGATTACTTCATGAAATCCAACTTTAAATGACTCTTTTTGTTTTTTATTAGCATTAGAGACTTTTTTCAAAGTTTCCATTTCTCCTGTGGAGTGTAGCTCTCTTTTTCCGTTGAAGAAATGTTGCGTCATCAACACCACAACAGCGCCCTCCAACGGAGAAATGCGGATCTTGAAATCATGTCTTCATTATCCACTGTATGGACCTGCTTTTAGTTCGTTGTTGCTTTAGGCTGT